CAATTATTTTATCATTTAAAAATACCATAAAATAATTGATTTATTTTATAAACTGATCATAGTGAAGTATTAAATAACCCGAGTTATTTTGGCAGCACAATCATAGTAAGCTGCCGGATAATTCTATTTACTTTGGTAGTTACTTTTGATCAGATTAGTCTTTTACTTAAGTGTACAGACTTTGTCTAATCGACAATATGGTCTCAAAGATATAAAAGGTTCTCTATTAAAAAATAATTTACTTTTGATCGAATATAGAAAAACAATATTAACAGTTAAATACAGAAATAATACAGAAATAGATTATTATTATGCAAAAAAAAAACATATTGAGTGAAGATCATGAATATAAATAATTAACGTTAACGTTTTTTAACTTGAGCCCATACAGTACGATCATTAGTAACAGCTTCAAATAATTTATGATGACTTAGAAAAACCGCCTTCAAATCATCCAAATCATCCTGACTAACCATTTTTCTATTTTGCGGACCCATTTCATGACTTTCTTTATATAAAAATCCTCTACAATGATTAAAATACTGAGTATCTTTCTTTATATTATTTAATAATGTAGTATATAACTTATCAACTGCCTCCGCACTATCATCATAATTTAAAATTTCAGCTTTATCTTCCCTACCCAACTTTCTTAAAAATTCTATAAGTTGAGATTTATGACTTTGACGAATTAAAGCAAAAGCATAAAATTGTTCAACAGTTTCTAAAAGTTTTAACCAAATTGTATATTCTTGATGAGACCAATCATTTGGATTAAATCTTTGAGATTCGAACATTCTTTTACTTAAAATTTTTGATCGTTGACGAGTAATTGCTGCAAATCCACCAGTATAATCAAGATTATTTTTTAAAGAAATTCTAAGGTCTTTGAGCTTTACTAATATATATTTAAATTTTCTAATACGCGCTTCTTTATCAAAGTAGAGATCCATTTTTTTAAAATAATTTTTTTTTAAGTTTAAATGAAATGGGTTTGATTGTACATTATGTATTTATATATCTTATCTTTGGAAGATCAAGACCATATACGTGTTATACTTGTATGTAACTGATAAAAATTTAACCATTTAGGTTTTGAATTACGTTTTACAATAACGATAAGTGTTTTAATAAAAAGCACATTGGTTATCTATTACAGTATTAGTTTTATTTCAATTACGTATTACTTTTTAGACGATTCTTGGGGAAATAAAATGTTGTTTCATTCTTCACATTATGCAGTCGACTTTCCATATGTACTTATCTGTTATAGTATGAGTTACAATGATGTATAGAGGGGAAGGTGCACTTATAGTGAGTCTGCTGTATATAGGACCAATTTTAGTGATGTAATGCCGCATTTAAACTGCTGGAGCTAGTTTGGGATTTTTTGATGATATCATTATGTATTAAAATATCATTTTTATTTATCAATTTATATTCCGATATCGATATCATTTATTTTTTTTGTTTTGATCCGAAAAAGGTTTGGGTTACATCGCTCTATTCACAATTATTAATCACATTATTTTATTGACCAATGAAAATCAGTCTGAGCCTCATTTACTTCACTTTTAGGCCGAACCTGGATAAACAAACGGACCACGCTAAATTCCGAACTTGAAAAAATTCGGGTTAGACACTATAATTTTTAAAAATATATTTTTGATTGATACAATTTTAGATATAAAAATTACAGATTACATAAAAATATATAATTTTTTTTTTATAAAAATCTTTAATACGTAACTTATCTTGCAATCAACATCCATTAGGATTTACGACTTATGAGATAGATGTACAACAAAGAAACTTATCTGATTTAACCTGGCATTTTCTAGATTTTCTGGTCATTATTCATTATCTCGCATGATATAACCATCCATATTGACCATATTAAGACATACTAAGACAAGATGTGGAAGTTGTATAACAAAAATATGCACGTATCTACTGTGATAGTCCGTAGTATGGTGCCCAGAATTCTATAAATCCTATTTTCCGCAAGTAATTACTATATACAGGTTTGTGAAACATTCTTTTTGGTTATATTTCGAATGCTGCAAATTCTATAAAATGCAAACCCTACTCTACGTACAACGAATAATATCAATAAAATTTCATTCTGTCATTATACAGTTATTTGATGTCGGGATATTACTATGGAATTTAGGGAATTTTCCTCCGGTAATTTAAATAAAGTCCGATAGAGTCAAACACAAACATAGTATAATAATAATGCTTAAAGTTATTAACCCCGATATTTATGACATTAAAGTAGAAAAGGGATTAATTATTTTGTCAAAAAAAAACTTTACGTATACGTACGTAGGGGACTATGTATTAAAAAGGCAAATAATATTTAACTTTACAATTAACTTAAATTTATTAAATAAAGAAATTTTAATTTTCTTTAATAAATTACTTGAAATTTTTTTAATGCATACAATGGAAATTTTTCAATTATAATTAAATTTTAAAACGTATCCACATTTTATTACACGGCTCCTAATTGTTCACCTATGACCTTTTTTGCTGATATTCTCACGGGTTAATATTTATCCGCCGTGAAAATATCAACCGTGAGAATATTAGTAAAAAAAAGTCATGGGTGAAAATTAGGATCCGTGAAATAAACCAGTTATTACACGTATTTGTCGTCGATATCATTAAAATTCCGAATCAATCTCGATATCATTCATGTAATAACTATTGCATACATTATCTGTATGATGGAATCCTACGTTTAAACAGTGCTAAACAATATATAGAAATAGAGCGTAACCGATTCAATAGTTATGCTCGGAGGATCGTATAAGTGAATTATGGTCTTCATAATTTATAAATTTAGTAAACAAGTTAAAATAATAAAGAAGTATCAAAGCAAACAAGAAGTGCGAAAACTTAAAAAGAACTTAATTTTTCTTGTCTCCTGGAATTAATCTTGCATGTAGTGTTACATTCTATATATATCTGATATGATAATTAAACGAATTGAACATATGAAACGAGGAGATTGATAATTTACTACGTAGTAAATTATGTGTAAATTATGTGCTTAGGTAAAATTTGACTAGCCATTGAAAATTCGATACAAGAGGTCAAAGAAATAACAGCAATTAAATATAGAAAAGTTTACTCAATAATATTATTAATTTCCGGGTGCCAATAAACGTTACATAAAGTGAAAAATAAATTGACCAATTGAGAAGGTAGACATGCTGATGAAACATAAATGATACTCTATACATTAAATAAAAAGTATCCTTTTTTATCGTTCATTACGTATAAAAATGAATTGCGTACGTATCACAAAATCCATCATTATACAGCTCTATTGTTTGTTATATAATATTAATTAAATTACTAAATATTCAAGTATCGATCTACTAATACTCGAACGAGTCTCAAAAATCAATTTGAAATTTTCCAGCTTAACGTTTCATGGTTACATGTATTAGACTATAAATAAATTTACGACACCTAAGAAAGTTAAGATAAGTGTGAAAGCGCCAAAAAAATTATTCAATATCCATTTGATTTGTTATCAATATTTATGTAGTAGGTAATCACATGGTAAATTGTCTACTCTTTAATTTACTAGAAGCAAGTTAGTTTATTAACTAGCAGTAACTATTAGAAGAAAATTTCTTTTTTTAATGATTTTGTATTTTTGTTATCATAATAATATACGGTATAGTCCAATAAATTTAATCATGATCTAATAACTCCATCCGACATTATGATCTCGACTATTTTACTTGAAAACTATAATTTTGACTAAAAACTTTATGATATCCACCTTGACAGGTAAAACAAAAATTAATAAAGAATTAACACGTATAACAGAATTGCGAATAGTTTTTTTCTTGTTTATTGTAATGAAATTATAAATCTTTCAGAATATTACGATTTATTTATTTTTGAATTACTGTAGAATTTTATGATTACAATGATAATAATTGCTATTTAAAAGAAACAGTTGCTGCGTGTACCCGACCGCAATAATTAATCAACCAGAAACTTTCAAATTAACTAACCATAAACTTTTAATTATATTATATATTATTAATTTTTTACACGCAAACTTACACGTATACTTATACAGTATAATTACATAGATATATTTAATCCTTAATTTTTTAAAATTACCTATTCGAAAACGAAAGATTCACCTTTATTCTCATCGGAAAGTAAATGTAATTGTAATAAAATTTGTTCAGCGTTTTCAATAGATTGTTGAATTTGAACAATTGTTTCTTTCATTTTAATAACTTCAACACTATTAACCATTACTCTTGTATCAGAAAATTCCATTGTTGAAAAATCTTCAATTCCAAGTAAATAATTAAAATCTTTTACCGAATTAAGCATAACTTTTCCATCAATTACTGATAAAACATTTGAAATTTCTTGCATAGTACGTGGTTGAAATTCTCCATTTAATTCTTTTGGGTCAACATAAATATTACTAGAATAAATTAAATCATTTGATATCGCTAATTCAAATATTCGAAAAAGATTTTCTAATGTATCATTTGAAGAAGGAACTGTCATAGATGTTTGTAATCCACATACTATTGAAAAATCGGTAATTGATTTATGAATTAATCTTGCAAGTATCCACCAAATATTAATTTCTTCAAGTGACCACGTAGAAATATATTGTAATGATAAAACTTTTTCAAGTTTTAAACTAAAATTTTTCCATGATAAACAAATTTGATGTATTGCTGATACTAAAGGATTTAATCCATTAAATTTTGGAATAGGATAATGTGGATATGATTGTGATCCATAAAGCAATGTAAGCGTTACTGTCAATAAGTTTTTAAGATAAAAACATGATGATGCTCGTTTGGGTTTCGTATCAAATGCATAAGTATCAAGAATATTTTTCAGGTCTTGTAATGTCAAGTTTTCAAATACTACTATATCATCAATTGCTGCCATAATTGTACGTGTAAAAAAAAAAAAGTTGAAATTTTTAATAATTCAATGATTAAAGAATATTTCATCTCTATTTATTTACAATTTTTTCGAATTACTTGTTTGGTTGGTGAGGGAAGAATTTCTTTGCGGAGACTTAATTTGTAAATGCATTATATATATGTATGTATATTTTTGTTTTTTTGGCCTTAATAATTATTACGTTGTAGATTCTGTGTATAGCGATTAATATAGTGATTAATTTAGTGATAGATAGACAATTATCCAAAATTGGATATCAATTTCTATTTTTATTTTAAAAACAAAAAAATTAAATTTGTTTCAAAAACTAAAACAGTAATTACATAAAGCATATAGGGGTTACCCCTTCTCAGCTTTTTTTAATGCTAAAAAATTAATAATATTGGTGGTCAAAACACATGATAAAAATCTTAATTTAAACATGGACACGTTCTTTTGAATAATTAATGCAATTAGATTATATTGCATGATAAATCAATACTTTATGCGTACGTACTGTACTGTACATACGTAATATTCATTCTAATAATAAACTGATAAAAAAAATCAATTCAAAAAAAAAAAATCATCTAAAAATGATTAGCAAAATAATCCGACATTTTTTTATAGGAATCAGGGATCGTTTAAGGATTTCCAATAATGTAAATAACTTACTTTCTATCAATTTTTGAATTTTTGATACATTAATATCTTTTGAAACCTATAAAAATGCAGAGGCGATATTTTACTTATCATCTTAAAGTTTCAATCAATTCATAAATATTACTACGTACTGTACGTCGTATAAAGCAGTTATGTAATACAAGAATTTAAATATTATGATTGATCTAGACTTAGGTAGCATACAAAGTTTCATGTAAAATTAAAGCCATATTATAGTTATTGTTTGAATTAAAAGAATTTAGGATTTATTATTATTTATTATTATTTATTAGTAGAATTTCACGAAAAAACATTTTTAAATTAGACCGCAATAAATAATTTCTTAATTAAAATTTGAGTTATTGTAAAAAAAAATGCCATTTACATTACTGTACACTGAACCTTGAATTTGATTGCCAAGATTACGGTGCGCTAGGGGGATGACGTTTAGTTTCGTTAGCGGGTTCCATGTGATAAATCACTAACAAATCGATAAAGAATAATTTTATTACTTACTAAATATTTATAAGTAGTAAGGTATTGTAACCTAATTATAAAATGATTAATGGATTAAATAATTAGGATATCCGATTAACTTAAAGGATTATATAAAATAGGGTAAAATATAATTATAATAATATCCCTTATATGTTGTGTGTGTCAAATTAATTTCTGCGTCAGATTAAACCATTAATCTCTTAATTTGATACACAACATAAATGCTATGAATTGACAAAATAACATGGACACGAATGGTAATAGGCTCTGCGATTATGTAGCTATCAACAAAACTCACTATAAAATATAGAATCTCAGCTTAGAGGCTAGAGTAGTACAAAACGCTTGATCAATGGCGAGGCATTAAAAATAAAGATTGAACTGCAATTTTCTTTATTCTGTACATTTTTACCAATCATTTTGTTTATGTAAAAATAAGGTCCACCGTATTCTTGATTTATTTCGAATTACCAATTTAATTAATGAGTTTCATAACTATGAGAAAAAAAAAATCTCATAAACAATGATCATTGCTTAAGAATTTAAAAGCGATAATATCAGAGTTTATCGTGAGTAGTGATGCATCTTTCTCTCTAACGCATAAATCCATATGAATGAATATGATGTTTTATTTCAAGAAACTTCATCCCTAATAAAACTTTTTTTTTTTACTGTTCTCTTTTTTCAATGGACTTAATTGGTAGGTTCTAAAAAATCATGAAAATAAAAAATACTTTAAAGCGTATAAAAAATGATTTTTTTTTTTTTTTTTTATTAAATTGATGTTGCTATTTAATTCTTATATATTTGTAATCGATGAATTGAACGTTGTTGTATCAAGGGAATGCGTAATTTAAAGAAAAACTTTAAAGAAAATGGTGGAATAATTATCGATTCTTGTTTACAAACAAACCGGATGCTTTCATTTATTATTGTGAGAAAAGCAAATGCATATACTTCATATACATGATGGCATTAGTTTTATTATTGCTAATTGACAAATCGAAAATTTTAATCTTTGCTATTCGGATTATATAAAACTTAAAATTAAGGTTGGACGTAAATTCGAGACAACAATTAAATTAATTTTGCATATTAGAAATTAATTCCCGATCTCGTAAAAAAAAAAATCAACGCTAAATAATTGAGACAGTAATTTTAAATTTTTTTTTTTTTTTTTATATACGATGATATCTTCACATGATCTGTATCACGAAGTAATGTGAATCAATAAATTTCAAGAAATCAGTCTGATTTACTAAATTTTTTCAAAATTAAAATAATGTCTTCAAACCCATTTTTACGAACCTTGTCTAATGGAGTATGTCCATCAGGATCTTTTAGCTTGGAGTTAGCACCGTGTGATAACCCTATAAGAAAAATATACTGTAATTGTATGAATTGGTGCGGAATGACACGGCACGGATCAAGCCCGGATTTTGTACGTAAAAGGCTCGAATTGACACGGGTTTTGGTTCGTATTGGACCGTATATCAGTGCCAATTGGACCGTTAATGACTCGGGTTTTGTAACTAGCCCAATTGGCACAGGTTTTGGTACGGGCGTACGGACATACGTACTACTATAACCGATAATAACAAATATACATACTAAAACATAAATTTACATCAATAATCATCAATATACTGTAGCACGTATTCGAAAATTAAAGTAATTGCATATGTGTAAAATTCTGCGAGGAGACAATTTTATCGGTGAAATTTTGAGATATTGCATTTTTTTTAAAAAAAAAACATTTACTGATCCTTCGCTACATGTATCACTCAATACGTTCCGTTCCGTATGACATGCTACCGCTTTGCCGTAATGTCCGTGTCATTTTTAGTGTGCCATCACCCCTACGTGCCACACACCCGTGCATTCTCGAAACCAACTCGAACCATAACCCGGATCACTTTTTTTATAAGGTAATAAATTCCGAATTTATTGATTATAGCGGTCATGATTTAATTAAGGGATCAAGTTGCAGCACATATAACGATCTATATGTTTTATGAAAAAAGATAGTTTCCACTTCTAAGCTAACATTTGTATTTTACAATATAATTAGTATTCTTTATTATACCTAACGATTTTTGTTATTTCATATTTTATACTACCTATGTTTTTTTTTACTTTTACGCTGAAGTAACTTCACGTGTTAAGCTGTGTAAGGCTAGCATGGTAGCCCCGAAGCCTCCCAATGATTATATCTTATAATTTCTATAAAAGCCAGTTAATAAAGGAGATAAATATCTAAGAGCTCCAAATCAATGAACAAAGTAGTGTAGTAATAACAATATGCCTTTTATTAATCTCCAACTATTACTTAAATGAATGATGCTATCATATTTGCTCCACAGTTGCGACTGGAGCTAAACTGTGCAATCATGCACATTGCTCTCTCAACCAGTCGTGACACTACGTAAAGATTCTTTTTGCATTATAAACCAAAATATATATAATGGTATACATTTAACATTTAATTTTTTATTTTATATATATTGACTTGTTATAATCTATTTAAAGATCTAAACGAATTCGCATTCAAGATATACTGTATTTGATTTTTAGAAAATGTAAAGAGGTTAATTTTCGCTTTATTTTTATTTTCTAACTAGATATTATTTTAAGGATTGATTATAAAATTTTTGATCACAGTTTCGAATTGTCGAGGTTCGATACCTTAATATTTAGATTAATTTTTATAGCTTTTCTTTAAAATATATCAGTATATCATTTAAAATAACAAGGCTACCACCAATAACAGTAATAAAAGTAATTTAATAATATTTATTATTTCAATATTCGTTTAATAAATTTATATACCGTATTTAATTTAGTAATTTTTATTATATATATAATATATTTAGTAGAACCTGCTAACTACCGCTTCACCAGCATCTACACCTAGTCTACACTAAACTATAAGTCAGGCCAATCCTAACTTAAATCGGTCAACTTTATCTGCAAAACAGTTGTTGGAGAAATTGTCTTTTCTCTCTTTAGGGACGTACTGTTATACATAACTATTGCTGAATTATTGTAGCATGGCAATAGTGAATACAATGCTTCCAATTCAATAACTTCCTTTTACTTGATTTAATAATCTAAATACAAATATAAAAATAAGCAATAAATTTGGTTGTTTATAAGTAAATCAAATATTACTTACCGTCGGGAATTTCATAATCAACGGGTTGACTTACTAAATATATATGCATATAAATATACTAAACTACAGTTTGAAATCAATTTGAGAAAATAAATATCATTACCTGTATTTACTATATTGATGACAAATTTTGAAATTTTTACAATTAATAACACATTACTAACTTTCTAAAAATGTAGGTGTTATTACCTGGTTTAGGGAGTTTTGAAATATTCAAAAATCGACTTGTATAAATAGCTTGTGGATGTGTCTGATATTTGAATCGTGTCGATTTG